ACTTAGTCAACTGTGGTTAAGATTCCCAGACCTGGCAGCTTGCTACAACCATGTGGGACCCAACCTGACACAACATGCGAACTGGCTGGTTTATATTTTCAGGTTTTTGCAATTTTGTTTTTAAACTTATTAGCTTATTTATTATTTAATTTGCTATAGGGCAACGTGCTCACCAGACAGAGGAAGAAAGAGAGAGAAAAGGAAAGTTAAAAAGTCAGTAACTGGTCCATAACTCCAACTGTTGGCCAAAGTCCAGTACCTTAACCACCACGCCACCTGCTGGCCCCCACATGTCCAGTTTTTACTATGGTGTGGTAATAGTAATGTAGAAAGTATTTAAAATGACAATAATTCGTTCAGCACTTTCCCATTTTAAAAAATGCGTGTCAAAGGATCAGCAGTTAGTGTAATGGCTATGTCACTGGACTCCCATGTAGTCGACCGCAGTTCGAGTCCTGGACCCAATGGCTTAAACTCACGCCGGGTGCATGTGTGTGTGTGCCCAAGATCCGAAGAGGAGAATGGAGGAGAAGGGATTGCAGTGTGGCCATCCACCCTGGGGGGGGATTTCTCACTTTCTGTCTCTCTGTCTGCCTGTCTTTCTGGCAAGCACACACACCCTATAGCAAAAACATCTCCTAAAAAAAAAAAAAAATTGCATGTCAAAATTAGTAGCTGCTCCTAAGCAATAATCATCTAGGTTACACCATGAAACATTAAGTACTAGATCCAAAATTGTACATATATTCCAGCCCTAAACTGGAGGACAACAGTCTGCCAGAGCCTGAATGTCAAACAGGCTCCATGGCTGGCAGGTGGCCTAGTGGTTAAGGCGCTGTACACTCAGACGTGGTTCGAGTCCCAGACCTCACTTTCCCTGTCTCTATGGTTGAATTAAAATAATAATAATAAAATTAAGTAATTTTAAAAATAAAAGAATCCTGGACCTCATGAACAATACTAAATAAACGCTGCTCCTTTCCCACTCCATCCCCGCTCTCGGTGGTACTCCAGCCAGAAATGAGTTATTGTGTATCTTCATTGCCTAGCATACGCTGAAAAATTATTCATCTGAAGCTCATATTTAACTGGCATCCTATCTTCTACCTAAAGAACTCAGACTTTGGGAAACCCAGCTCTGCTGGGGCCGCTGCCATTCACCGTCCACTCTGAGGTCTACTAAAACCTTAAGGGTCGCCTCGGTGTGCTGCTATAGGTGTCACCTAGGCAAAAGATGAAAAGGTTCTGGCTAGGTGGCTTGATTCTAAATGCAAGAAGATCGCCAGGGCTCAGCAACCATTGGACGGCGAGGAGGTGGCAGTGCTGGACACGCGGAAGCGAGACCGGGACGGTGGAACACCCCGACAGCCAGCCGCGCGGCGTTCGCGGCTCTGCGCTTGACGGCCCCTTTTGCGGCGGCTGGCAGGCGGCGCGTCTCCGCTTGCCGGCCCCTTTGGCGGCGGCTGCCTGTCGTGCGTGCCGTAAAGCGGACCGGCCGCCGCTGTTGGGTGAGTTCGTGTGCGAGACAGCTCGGTCGCGAGGGATGGGAGGGCCCCTTCAGACCGGTATCTTTGGTGGCTCCGGTGCCCTCACCTGGCATCTCCCAGCATTCTAGGCCCCTGCCCTCCCCGCGGCTGGCAGGCGGCCCAGGCCAGCCAGGGTTGAGCGCGCGCCCGCCGGGTTCTCCCGGTGACTCAGTCCGCCCGTAATCTCGTGGTGGGCGTTCACTCGGCCAGTTCTTCCCACGCTCCTGGGTGTGACCGAGGTTCAGTCCTCATCCTCGGACGGGGTCCGTTTCGGAGAGCGACTGAGGATCCGGGTAGGAGTAGTGAGTAACCTTTGAGCAGGTCGCAGCAGCCGATTTGCGAGAGGATCTGTGGGGATCAATCCGTTCGTTCCAGATAGTGAGACCACGTATGCCAAAGTCCAGAAGCACGGAAGAAGGTGCTGGGTGTGGGTAGCACTGCGTCCGTGTCGCGGTAGTGGCTGAAGGCACGAGGTCACGGGGAAGGATGGCAGGACTGTCGTGGGAGCTACACGGGTGCCTCCTGGAAAGGGCCTTGCGCCCTGTGCAGGAGCATGGAGTTCCGTGGGCAGTGCGGAGCTCCAGCGGCTTTATAGGGAGAGTAATGTGATTGAATTCCATCTCTCTTCTGGTGCTCCCCCCAACTCCCGGGTTCATCTCTCAGTTCAGTTGGAGCCGTATATACTGAAGCGCCCCCTTGGTGTACTCCATACGAAGGTGGACACAGCTGGCCAGGCTAAAGCTTCATTTGGCTTTGGTGTCTGCCTTTTATTTATTTTTATTTTAAATTTATTTATTTTGCACTCATTCACTGTATATCATTGCAGCATACGAAATGAGTTTTTCCATCCAGAATACACTGCATATTGGCTCAAAGCATACAAAATGAGTTTTTCCATCCAGAATACACTGCATATTGGCTCAAAGATTACCATATATGTTCTTTTCAACAGATAATTTTCCATCTCTTATTTCTTATATATTTTACTTCTCTTTTTCCCCCCTTGATGAGAAGTATGAGAAGTCACATGCATTCATTAGATAGAGGGAAACATGGAGAGAAACTAAGAGAAAGCAACCCCCAATGGCGTGTGGTCATATTGCAATCTTTTTTCCTCTATTTTTTTCACAGCAATATTTTGGGCATGCACTTACACATGCCAGCATGCTTTTCAAGCTGCGAGGGCTGAGACTCAAACTATGGTTGACCATGTGGGATCCAGCTCCCTCAATCACTGTGCTACCAGGGCTCACTTTCTTCTGTAAAAGTGGTTCTGAGTATGGTCAGCAGCAGCAGTACCACTTGGCAACTTGTCAAATCAAATTCAGAGATCTCAGATCTATTGAATCAGAAACTCTGGAGGACAAGCTCTGCCTCCCCTCGTCTCTATTAATCAGTTTTTATAAATATCCTCTTTATGTTTTCCGTTATTTGCAATTGTAAAGGATGACACATGCTAAACATTTTCTTATTTCTTCATCTTTGGGCTCAGATCCTATTATTTCTTTAGTTAGGAAATTATGGGATCAAAGAATATTCTATGGAGCTTTTTCTTTGTTCTGTTGCTGGTTGTTAGAAGTGAAAAATTAAAAAATTGTTTTTGTCTCTTTAGAAATATCTTTTGGTTCACAGAAAACAAGAGTATCTGCTTATCCAAAATGGTGAAGACAATTGGGTCACTTTCAGAAGAAAACCAAGAGAGCACCACAGACTAATGAGTAGAATCAATAAGAACGTGATTTTGGGCCTTTTAACGTTGGCAAGTTCTGCGTTTCTGCTCTTTCAATTGTACTACTATAAGTACTACTTATCAACAAAGGTATTTTTTTTCTCCTTTCTCATCCTTAGACTTCATTTTAGCTGTATTTTTCCTAACACATTTCTCCTTTGCAATACAAAAGTTAATCACAGCTTTTCCAACTTAAAGAAACATTTCTTGTTGAGAGTCTCATCTTTATGGAATGTGACAAACAATTAAAAATTGCAGTTAAATGCCAGTGTAACAGCACACTGAAGTCAAAGATCCCAAGTCGTAGGGATGTTTGGTCTGTTGAAATTTTCTGATATAGTTAAGTAAAAAGTGTTCTGCAAAACAAATTGCCTCTCATTTAAATGGATACAATGATAACTAATTTTGATAGAATATCACAACAATTATTGGCATATAGATAGTATTTAAAGCCATAAAACTAGATGAGAGATCAAGGAAGTAAACACATTTCAAAAAGAGAGGAAGTTTGAAAATCTGAGCTTTGGGACCCCCCAACACATCAAAAAGGTGGAAAGAACCAGCAAGTGAGACTGAGGAGTTACCACAGAGAAATAGCAGGAAAGCAGATTTATGGGGATTCTGAGAGCCACCCAAATGAAGTGTTTCAGTTGAAGCAGAAGTTATTAACAATTCTGCATAGGTTAAATAAGATAAGGACTAATAATAGGCATTGGATTTAGCAGTGTAGAAGTCATTGTGATTTTGATGAATGCTTGACAGTGAATTTAAACCCAAATGAGTTCATGGGGAGAGAGGAATTGGAGGTAAGGAAAGAGACAGCTCCTTAGGAGTTTTGCTATAAAGGGGGACCAGAAATTGTTAGGAAAATGGGAGTTGAGAGGTTTCTGTTTGTTTTGTTTTATATATGATGGGAAAAATAATACCATGTTTGCATCCTGATAGGAGTCATCCAGCAGAGAAAGAGACTGGAGTGAGGGATCCAGTAAATGGGAACCGCGGTAGTGGCTGAAGGCACGAGGTCACGGGGAAGGATGGCAGGACTGTCGTGGGAGCTACACGGGTGCCTCCTGGAAAGGGCCTTGCGCCCTGTGCAGGAGCATGGAGTTCCGTGGGCAGTGCGGAGCTCCAGCGGCTTTATAGGGAGAGTAATGTGATTGAATTCCATCTCTCTTCTGGTGCTCCCCCCAACTCCCGGGTTCATCTCTCAGTTCAGTTGGAGCCGTATATACTGAAGCGCCCCCTTGGTGTACTCCATACGAAGGTGGACACAGCTGGCCAGGCTAAAGCTTCATTTGGCTTTGGTGTCTGCCTTTTATTTATTTTTATTTTAAATTTATTTATTTTGCACTCATTCACTGTATATCATTGCAGCATACGAAATGAGTTTTTCCATCCAGAATACACTGCATATTGGCTCAAAGCATACAAAATGAGTTTTTCCATCCAGAATACACTGCATATTGGCTCAAAGATTACCATATATGTTCTTTTCAACAGATAATTTTCCATCTCTTATTTCTTATATATTTTACTTCTCTTTTTCCCCCCTTGATGAGAAGTATGAGAAGGCACATGCATTCACTAGATAGAGGGAAACATGGAGAGAAACTAAGAGAAAGCAACCCCCAATGGCGTGTGGTCATATTGCAATCTTTTTTCCTCTATTTTTTTCACAGCAATATTTTGGGCATGCACTTACACATGCCAGCATGCTTTTCAAGCTGCGAGGGCTGAGACTCAAACTATGGTTGACCATGTGGGATCCAGCTCCCTCAATCACTGTGCTACCAGGGCTCACTTTCTTCTGTAAAAGTGGTTCTGAGTATGGTCAGCAGCAGCAGTACCACTTGGCAACTTGTCAAATCAAATTCAGAGATCTCAGATCTATTGAATCAGAAACTCTGGAGGACAAGCTCTGCCTCCCCTCGTCTCTATTAATCAGTTTTTATAAATATCCTCTTTATGTTTTCCGTTATTTGCAATTGTAAAGGATGACACATGCTAAACATTTTCTTATTTCTTCATCTTTGGGCTCAGATCCTATTATTTCTTTAGTTAGGAAATTATGGGATCAAAGAATATTCTATGGAGCTTTTTCTTTGTTCTGTTGCTGGTTGTTAGAAGTGAAAAATTAAAAAATTGTTTTTGTCTCTTTAGAAATATCTTTTGGTTCACAGAAAACAAGAGTATCTGCTTATCCAAAATGGTGAAGACAATTGGGTCACTTTCAGAAGAAAACCAAGAGAGCACCACAGACTAATGAGTAGAATCAATAAGAACGTGATTTTGGGCCTTTTAACGTTGGCAAGTTCTGCGTTTCTGCTCTTTCAATTGTACTACTATAAGTACTACTTATCAACAAAGGTATTTTTTTTCTCCTTTCTCATCCTTAGACTTCATTTTAGCTGTATTTTTCCTAACACATTTCTCCTTTGCAATACAAAAGTTAATCACAGCTTTTCCAACTTAAAGAAACATTTCTTGTTGAGAGTCTCATCTTTATGGAATGTGACAAACAATTAAAAATTGCAGTTAAATGCCAGTGTAACAGCACACTGAAGTCAAAGATCCCAAGTCGTAGGGATGTTTGGTCTGTTGAAATTTTCTGATATAGTTAAGTAAAAAGTGTTCTGCAAAACAAATTGCCTCTCATTTAAATGGATACAATGATAACTAATTTTGATAGAATATCACAACAATTATTGGCATATAGATAGTATTTAAAGCCATAAAACTAGATGAGAGATCAAGGAAGTAAACACATTTCAAAAAGAGAGGAAGTTTGAAAATCTGAGCTTTGGGACCCCCCAACACATCAAAAAGGTGGAAAGAACCAGCAAGTGAGACTGAGGAGTTACCACAGAGAAATAGCAGGAAAGCAGATTTATGGGGATTCTGAGAGCCACCCAAATGAAGTGTTTCAGTTGAAGCAGAAGTTATTAACAATTCTGCATAGGTTAAATAAGATAAGGACTAATAATAGGCATTGGATTTAGCAGTGTAGAAGTCATTGTGATTTTGATGAATGCTTGACAGTGAATTTAAACCCAAATGAGTTCATGGGGAGAGAGGAATTGGAGGTAAGGAAAGAGACAGCTCCTTAGGAGTTTTGCTATAAAGGGGGACCAGAAATTGTTAGGAAAATGGGAGTTGAGAGGTTTCTGTTTGTTTTGTTTTATATATGATGGGAAAAATAATACCATGTTTGCATCCTGATAGGAGTCATCCAGCAGAGAAAGAGACTGGAGTGAGGGATCCAGTAAATGGGAATGTTGACCTTAGATGAGAACACAGCAGTTCATCTGTAAGGAAAGCAGGGAAAGCAGATTATATGCATCTACTTCCAGTACATGTGAAGATATGTGGAAGCTTTTGAAATACGGCTAAGTTCTCTCTATATATATATATGTGTATATATATGTATAGAGAGAGTTGTCAGAAAAGTCTTCCCATGTTTTTGCATAGAAAAATATGTCATGACTTTTCTGACAACCCGATATATCCATCTCTTCCTCCATGGACAAACCTTTATTAGGCATTTGCTAATTACCAAGCACTATTCTAGGTATTACTGATACAGAGATGACTTGAGTCTCCGCACTTGAGTGTACATTTAAGTGGGGAGATGCGTTTTCTTTTTAGAAGAGCACATTTTGTTTTTAGGGGAGGCTACTCTAGTTATTCTTAAGCATCCTCTTATGTATAACTTAGAGATAAAGAATGTATTCAGGGGCTAACTGGTGGTGTGGTTGAGACGCTGGACTCCCACATAGTTTACTGCAGTTCAAGTCCCAGACCTAGCAGTTTGCTTTCTCTGGCAAAAATTAAAGAACAAAAACCAAAAAGCCAATAATGTTTTTCTTTTTCTGGATCTCCATACTTTAATATTATAAAAAGGTATATAATTTAAAACCTCAACATTTGCGATTATGATGTATGTAAGGAAGAGTGTAGGTACTGGAGTGGTCTGCAAAACAGAAAAAATAATGCCTACGTTGTAGGCTCACCGTGATAAGAATATATAATTCACATTGGAAGGGTGAAACACAGTACCTGACACTTAGGAGTGTCACATAAATATTATACTGGGTTGTCATTTGGCAAGATCTACAAACATTAACTTGGTGTATGGAGATCAGTCAAGGTAGGGATATGGAACTAAACAGATAAATCCTAATTCTGAAGCGATAGCACAGAGTTTGCTGTTCACTGGTTCAGAGATGTTAGCCACATATGCTTTACTGTTTAATAACTTAATTAACTTACCAAAATATAACAGCATCCAATAACTTAAATAACTGTAATATATCAGCATTTTCCATCTGGGTTATTGTACTGAAAGATTGTAGAATTAACTTAGGGTTATATGAAAATGGATATTTGGGTAATGCTTCTTAATGACTACAAAGTAGTTTATGCAGTTTAAATCTCATGCTTACCCTAGAAGTAATGTTGTGTGCTGGGCTTTGAATTTACTAAAATGTTCTTTTCTTATCTTCCTAGAATGGAACTGGTTTATCAAAATCCAAAGGAAGTCGAACTGGATTTGATAGCACACAGTGGGTATGTACAATGAGCAAGAAAGGCCTCAGTTACTATGTTCATTTAATTCAGTCATTTATATACTTCACAAACACTTACTGAATGATGACAGTGATAATAGCTACCTTGAGGAAAGTGAGCGGGGGCTCACATAGGTAGTGGCAGGGAAGGAGCAGGCCCTATGCCAAGGACTTTATGTGCAGTATCTCATTTAGGTTTATAGAAACCTTGAAAAATTAGTACATGTTATTCTCATCACTTAGATTAAAGTTAGTTCATTCACCAAGCTATGGTGCTTCCCCGAATGAATAAATATATGAATCAGAATTAAACTATGAATAAAGGGAAATTGGGGGCCCGACAGTGGCAAAGGAGTTAAACACAACACTGCGAAGCTGACTCATATGGAAAGTTGCTGGTTTGTATCTGGAGACCTCCTGAGTGTGCTGGGCACATGTATGCTCACGATCTGGGCTATCTGAAGCTGTGGGTTGGTCTTATTACGGGTGCTGTACCTCTGTCTCTTTCACTCACGAACTAAGTAAATAAACTTGAGAAAAAATTTCGAATAAAAAAAAGGGAAAATTAATGATCAGAAACAAAAATGTATCTAACATGTTTTCCCTCTAAGATTAGAGAAAAGGGATGGCCCCATAGATATTATAAAAAGATATATATATATATATATATAATTTAAAACCTCAACATTTGCGATTATGATGTATGTAAGGAAAAGTGTAGGTACTGGAGTGGTCTGCAAAACAGAAAAAATAATGCCTACGTTGTAGGCTCACCGTGATAAGAATATATAATTCACATTGGAAGGGTGAAACACAGTACCTGACACTTAGGAGTGTCACATAAATATTATACTGGGTTGTCATTTGGCAAGATCTACAAACATTAACTTGGTGTATGGAGATCAGTCAAGGTAGGGATATGGAACTAAACAGATAAATCCTAATTCTGAAGCGATAGCACAGAGTTTGCTGTTCACTGGTTCAGAGATGTTAGCCACATATGCTTTACTGTTTAATAACTTAATTAACTTACCAAAATATAACAGCATCCAATAACTTAAATAACTGTAATATATCAGCATTTTCCATCTGGGTTATTGTACTGAAAGATTGTAGAATTAACTTAGGGTTATATGAAAATGGATATTTGGGTAATGCTTCTTAATGACTACAAAGTAGTTTATGCAGTTTAAATCTCATGCTTACCCTAGAAGTAATGTTGTGTGCTGGGCTTTGAATTTACTAAAATGTTCTTTTCTTATCTTCCTAGAATGGAACTGGTTTATCAAAATCCAAAGGAAGTCGAACTGGATTTGATAGCACACAGTGGGTATGTACAATGAGCAAGAAAGGCCTCAGTTACTATGTTCATTTAATTCAGTCATTTATATACTTCACAAACACTTACTGAATGATGACAGTGATAATAGCTACCTTGAGGAAAGTGAGCGGGGGCTCACATAGGTAGTGGCAGGGAAGGAGCAGGCCCTATGCCAAGGACTTTATGTGCAGTATCTCATTTAGGTTTATAGAAACCTTGAAAAATTAGTACATGTTATTCTCATCACTTAGATTAAAGTTAGTTCATTCACCAAGCTATGGTGCTTCCCCGAATGAATAAATATATGAATCAGAATTAAACTATGAATAAAGGGAAATTGGGGGCCCGACAGTGGCAAAGGAGTTAAACACAACACTGCGAAGCTGACTCATATGGAAAGTTGCTGGTTTGTATCTGGAGACCTCCTGAGTGTGCTGGGCACATGTATGCTCACGATCTGGGCTATCTGAAGCTGTGGGTTGGTCTTATTACGGGTGTTGTACCTCTGTCTCTTTCACTCACGAACTAAGTAAATAAACTTGAGAAAAAATTTCGAATAAAAAAAAGGGAAAATTAATGATCAGAAACAAAAATGTATCTAACATGTTTTCCCTCTAAGATTAGAGAAAAGGGATGGCCCCATAGTACAGCGGTTGAGCCCTGTGCAAACAGAGATGGATTCCACATAGCTGACCACGATTTGAGTCCTTGTTCTGGTGGCTTGAAAAAAATACTGGGCACATGTGTGTATACCTAGGATCCTAATAGGATTGAGGAAAAGGAATGTTGGCATGACCAGGTCCTGTTAAGGGTACTTTCTCTTTCAATATCTCTCTCCATATCTCTCCCTCTCCTTCTCTTTCTGTCTCATGCAGGCACATTGGCATTAAAAAAAAAGGTGAGGGGTGACTAGCAGCGTAATGTTATGTCGCTGGACTCCCATGTAGTCGACCACGGGTTGAGTCTCGGACCCGATGGCTTAAAACTCACACTGGGCGCGTGTTCTTGCGTGCCCAAGATCCCGAAAGGATAATGAAGGAGAAGGGATTGTGGAGTGGCCATCCTCCCTGGGGGACAATTTCTCGCTTTCTGTTTCTATCTCTGTCTTTCTGGCGAGCGCATATGCCCTATAGCAAAAACCTCTCCAAAAAGAAAAAAGAAGGTAAGGGGAACTAGCCAAATATATACTGTATCTCCTTTTTAAAAATAAATTTTAGATTATGTACTTTTTAAACTTTTTTGACTTATAGTTAATTTGTAGCATACTGGTTTATATTCTTTTTTTTTTTTTTTTTAATTGCTAGAGGACACATGCACTAGAGAGAAACAGAGAGAGAGAAAACATCCCCTAATGGGGAATGGTTATTCCACAATCTATTCTCCATTTCTCCATCCTGTTGAGATTTGGAACATGTATGCACATATGCCTGGCATGTTTTTTAAGCTACTAGGGCTGGAATCTGAATTGTGACCAGCTATGTGGTATCTGGCTCCTGTAACCACTAAACCACTGGGATGGCCTTGATCGGTATTTTTATGGTATGTTCTGTATATTTTTATTATAGCATATTTCACCTTGTGTTGTAAATATTTGTTCATTTCCTTAGAAGACTGTATGTTTTTTGAGAGCAGGGACTGTGTATTACTGATTTTTTTTAGCATCGTGATAAGCATGGTGCCTAGTAAGTAAATAATATATAAATTCTTATAGAATTAATATAAATACTATATAATGTCTTATAGAATTAATATAAATAACAACTTAATTAAAATGGTTGTTGTATTGGTTTAGTGGAATTAAGGGAGTTCTTTTCTTCTCTAAATAGCGTGCAGTTAAAAAATTTATTATGCTAACATCCAGCCAAAATGTGCCAGTGTTCCTTATTGATCCTTTGATTCTGGAATTGATTAATAAAAACTTCGAACAAATCAAAAATGCTTCTCATGGCTCCACTTCAGAATGCAAGTTTTTCTGTGTTCCAAGAGACTTCACTGCGTTTGCACTACAGTATCACCTGTGGAAAAATGAGGTAAGATGGTTTACTTTCAGATAATGGAATACATGTCTTCTTTTATCAAATAGTATGGAATTTATCCAGTTTAAAATATAAAATATTGGAGCCTGCAGGTGGCATGTGGTGGTTAAGGCGCTGGATTCCCATATGGCCAACTGTGGTTGGAGTGTGGGGGCTTGAAAATCATGCCAAGCATGTGATTGTATGTGCAGTGTGGCCATCACCTCGGGGGACATTTCTTTTTCCCTCTCTCTGTCTCTGGCAAGCATACATGGCCTATGGCAAAAACAACAGCAGCAACAACAGATAGATAGATTGATCAGGCAAAAACAACAGCAGCAACAACAGATAGATTGATCAATAGATAGATAGATATAAAGTATTTAAAGAATTTTTCAAAATATTTTGCACCAGAAACATTTTTTACTATAAAAGAACACAATTAATAGTGACTAAAGCAATGGGGGAGACAAGAAGATGAGAGGAAGGAATAATAATACACATCCGTCTTCTGAAGGGAAATTTTTTCAAGGAATTTCTAGTAAACTGTTATTTATGTCTCACTGCCTAGAACTATAATCACACGTCTTCTAGTTGTATGGGAGGCGAACAAGACTGTTGGCATCTCTATTAGTGTAGGCAGGCAAATAGGAAGGGATTGTGTGATGAATTTTCAGTATATATCACATAAAGTATAGGTAAGCATAGTTTCCTTAATTTACAGCACTGTTTTTCTCATTTTGTAAGTACACAGTACTTATATGATACTCAAGTGAATTATTTCTTGGGCGTACGTATACAAAAATTTGAACTTATATTTCCATCCTGCTTAATGGTTACAATGCTTTCATACATGCAAGATGGAAGGAAGAGAACATTGAAGATCTTTTGGGATATTAAAAAGCCAGGCCTGGAAGGGGTCCTATCCCTAATACTTCTATCTATATTTCATTTATCAGAACACAATTTAACTCTATATCCAAATAGGAGAAGATACTTGTTATTGGTACTAATTAGCATTCTCTGTCAGAACGATCATTTTCTCTCATTTAACAATATAAACAACAACTACTTGTTGAGCACCTACTGGATACTAGACATTCTCTTGAGTCCTCTAGTTGTGAAACTTTAAGTCTATTAATGGAGTTTATTTAAACAAGTAAAAAATAATACAGTAACTAATATGACAAAAGTCTGTGTGTGTGAGATGAGAGTGTAGATGAGGGTATAACTACTTTACATGATAACATTGAAAGACAGTAAGTGATGTGCATAAAACTGAAAAATGTTTATAAATACCATGGCCAGTGAGGAAAAACTTTAAGATACCACTCTATTATTTAATAACCTTTGTGTTTGGTATTAAAATTTAGAGCTTTATTTTTCTTAACTTGTAGCTTAACCTTACATAGTTTCTGTATCAAATAAGATAACGTGAATAACTTGTGTACATATTATATAAATATAAATTATAGAGGTAGTGTCCTGTAGTGAGAAGGCCCTCACATTTGGTTGGAGAAGACCTAAATACTTAGGGTAGCTTTGCGTTCTATCAGTTTTCTTTCTTTAGACAAGAAACCCGAGTTACATGTCTGTTTCCTTATCTGTAATAACTCTCCTACTTCCTTTAAAGGGTAGGTGCCACATGCAGATACAATACAGGTTGCGTATCCCTTATCCAAAATGCTTGGGGGCTGATAGGTCACATGGTGGTTAAAGACGCTGGATTCCCACGTGACCGACTGCAGTTCAAGTCCCAGACCTGGTGGCTTACTTTCTTTCTGTCTCTCACTGATCAAACTCGAAAATCATCATTATCATCATAAATAAAATTAAATTAAAAAAATAATTATTTAAAAGCAAAACAAAACAAATACTTGGAACTGAAATGTTTCAGATTTTGAAATATTTGCAGATATATAATGAGATACCTTGGGGGAGAGGACCCAAGTCTAAACATGAAATTCATTTATATTTTATATACATCATATATACATAACCCGAAGGTAATTTTACACAATATTTTTGTATTTCAACATTTTTAAAGAATTATTTAATTTTATTAATTATTATTATTTTTTTAAAATTTGCTACAGGGCATATATACTCACTAGAGAGAGGCAAAGAGAGAGAGGAAGTGAGAAAACAAGCTGCCAGGTCCGGGACTCAAACCACAGTTGGCCATGTGGGAGCCCAGTGCCTTAACCATGCCACCTACTGGCCTGGTATTTCAACATTTTGACTGTGACTGTCACATGAAAGCAGATGTGTAATTTTTCACTTAAAACATCACATTGAGGGACCAGCAGGTGGTGTGGTGGTAAAGGTGCTGGACACTCCCACATGGCTGACCATGGTTCTAGTCCTGGACCTGGTGGCTTGCTTTCTCACTTTCCCGCTTTCTCTCTATATATATGTATCTCTCTGGTCAAATTAAAAATAAAATGAATGAATAAAAGTAAATAAATAATTTTTTTAAAAAAACAAAAAACATCACATTGACACTCAAAAAGTTTTGAATTTTGGAGTATTTTGGATTTTTGTATACTCAACCTATTATGTATAGAACAGTTCTTTGGAAATTGTAAAATCCTATTCAAATGTAAGGTGTTTTTAATAATACTGTTTACCATTTATAATGCTAGTTGTTGAAATTAGGATTAGAATTTAGGTTAATTTTATTCAATAAATTTTTGCTGTAACTAATTATGTTAAAAGATGTACTTTGTCATATAGTATGTTTCAGTCTATTTTCTAATAATTTGTATTGTGATGAGGTTCCATTATGGTAGCATTTTAAGGTTTTGGGATATAAACTATGAGATAAAAGAGCTACTTTTGAAAAATATTTTTGGAGATAAAGGTTATTAGAAACTGAATTCATTAAATTAAATTAGAAGTTAAATTATTAGAAGTTAAAAGTAATTGAAGATAAAGATTATTAGAGTTACAAATTTAATTTTTTAAATAATTTTTTAAAATTTTATTTATTATTATTTTGTAATTTGCTACAGGGCACATGCACTCACCAGAGAGAGAAAAAGAGAGAGAAGCAAAGTGAGAAATCAAGCCATCAGGTCCAGGACTTGAAATATTTCTTTCTTTATTCTTAAAGAATGATTTTATTGGGGCCAGCAGGTGGTGTGGCTAAGGCACTGGAATTCCCAATGGCCGACCATGGTTCAAGTCCTGGACCTGATGACCCTCTCTCTCTCTCTCTCTTTCTCTGGCAAAATTCATGTTAAAAGTAATAATAATAATAAAAGAATATGCTATTTAACTTTCTTTCTTTCTTTTTTTTCTTTTAACAGAGAGAAAGAGAGAGAGAGAGAGAGAAAGTGAGGAAGCAAGCCACCAGGTCTGGGACTCAAACTGCTGTCAGCCATGTAGGAGTTCAGCACCATTATCCACCACACCACTCCTCACTGGCTCCACAAGTTTGATTTTAATTGTTCTCCTTATATTAACATTCACTTTATAGAAACTAATCAGTGTATACTAAAATGAACATTCTCATTCCAAGGAAGAAATTTGTCTTAATTTTCATGAAGACAGTTTTTGGACATATCTTCTTGTGCTGCATAACTTCTCTTTTTGCCACCATCCTTTGTATTCTACAGAGAGCAAATTCACATGAAAATGACTCAATCCAATGTAAGTTAGTTTTATTACTAGTATTTGTTTTTAAATAGTTAAACTTGATGTTTCTTTGTTTGTAGGAAGGCTGGTTTCGGGTAGCTGAGAATATGGGATTTCAGTGCCTAAAGATTGAGAGCAAAGATCCCCGGCTAGATGGGATAGACTCACTTTCTGGGACTGAAATCCCCCTGCACTATATCTGCAAATTGGCCACTCATGCCATTCACGTGGTGGTCTTTCATGAAAGGAGTGGCAACTACCTCTGGCATGGCCATCTGCGACTCAAAGGGCACATTGACAGAAAATTTGTTCCTTTTCGAAAATTACAGTTTGGTCATTATCCTGGAGCTTTTGACAGGTAAGTTCAGCATCAGAAATGTCTGATGAGTATTCTCCAGTCATGAATTCTTGCACTTTTTCTTTTTACATTTAGTAATTAAATCTGGTATGTAATTTATATAAATGTTCATAATAAAGTTTTTTTTTTCAAGTTTGTTTATTTGTTCTATGAGAAAGACAGAGAAAGAGGCAGGCATCCCAATAGGGTCCCTATGCCACGATCCACCCCAACTGGATTTTGGACACACACATACACACGGCATGAACCAAGAGACCTTCCCATGTAGGTCTAGATGTGTTACCACCAAACTATTACCTCGACTTCTTTATTCTTTGTTTTTCTTTCATTGGAGAGGCAGGAAGAGAGATGAGCACAATTGACAAAGTTTTCATGTCACAACCCTCCCCTAAACCCTGCAGCCAGCCAAGATTACGGGTGCATCTTTGGGTGTGCCTGATGTGTTCTGATAAATCTGAGATACAAACCAGGAGCTTTCCTATATGGTTTCAAGCATCATACAATAGTACCTTTTACAGCTTGTCCTACTGCAAGTAGGTCTAGCACTGTTTTTAATGCCCCCCAAATTAGAAGCAGCCCACATGTCCTTCAACAACCAAAGGATAAGTAAATTTATAAACACTTGCATAGGGACCAGCAGGTGACGTGGTGGTTGAGGCGCTAGACCCCCACATGGCTGACCACGGTTCGAGTCCCAAACCTGGCAGCTTACTTTCTCACTCCCCCTTTCTCTCTGTCTGTTTCTCTGGTCAAAATTGAGGAATAATGATAATAAATAAAATTTACAATAAATAAATCTTTTTTTAAAAAAACAGTATGTTATTCTTGCCTTCTTATTAATACTTAAAATCATATTATTTGAGAAACAACAGAAAATATTCAGAACTGGAACCTTGTACATTGTGTGTGATAAAAAGCATCTTTACATTGTATAATTTTGGAATGGAAAATCCTCAAAGAATATTTGTAAAATATGGGGTCAAAAATACATAATACCAATTCCCAGATTACCATTTTGCCCCTTGATGAGGCTCTCAGGCTATTGTAATATTCTCATGTGTGTTAAAGGTTAAAAACATTTTCTTCTGGGACTAGCAGTTAGCATAATGGCTATGTCACTGAACTCCCATGTAGTAGACTGTAGTTCGAGTCCCGGACCTGGTGGCTTAAACTCACACTGGGTGTGTGTGCGTGCGTGCCCAAGATCCTGAGAGGAGAATGGAGGAGAAGGGATTGTGGTGTGACCATCCCCCCCTGGGGGGTGATTTCTCACTTTCTAGCTCTCTGTCTCTCTGTCTCTCTGTCTTTGTGGAGAGCGCACGCGACCTATAGCAAAAACCTCTCCCCCCCAAAAAAAAAAAATTTACTTCTCTAAAAAGTAATTGGTAGTTTAAAATTTTGTTACTTAGCTTTTCTTTCTGCTTAAAATGCCAAAGTAAACATGAACAAATGTGAAAATATTTTTAAATACATTAACCAAAATATTTAAATTCAAATGCTAAATTATGTCAAATTTTCTTTCCAAGTTCTTAATAAATTTGCTAATTGTTACCTGACTTAACAGAAGAAAATATCCTTGCTATTTAGGTATCTTGCAAATGTTTGATGTTTTAAAGAAACCTAGTATTCTAGGTTAAATCTATGTAATAAAGCTTAACTTTTGTTTTCAGGCCAGAGTTACAGCAAGTTACTGTTGATGGAGTAGAAGTTCTCATTCCAAAAGATCTAACGCACTTTCTAGAAGAAATACCACACTCTAGGTTTATTGAGTGTAGGTATAAAGAAGCTCGAGCATTTTTTCAGGTTAGAAACAACCAAGTAATGTACTTTTAAAAATAAGGAAATGTGTTTATTTTTAATATTCTGAGGAGAAAATGAAAAGTCTTACGGAAACTAAACATTTTTTTCATTCATCTATTTTCTTTTAGCGTATCTTCATTTTTTTCCAAAAAAGTAGGTTACAAATTAAGAAACTATTTTTTTTCTTTTTTGTTTTAAGATTCCTATATATGTAATGTAGAAATCTTGTTTCTTTTTTTAGAATTATTTTATTTAACTTTATTTATCTATTTGTTTATTTATTTATTTTAATTTGACCAGAGAGGGACAGAGTGAGAGAGAGAGAAAGTGAGAAAGCAAACCACCAGGTCCGGGCTTGAACTGCAGAAACTATTTAATAGAAACTATTTCTTGGGGCCGGCAGGTGGTATGATGGTTAAGGTGCTGGACTCACACTTGGCAGACTGTTATTTGAATCCAGATCTGGTAGCTTGAAACTCACACTGGGCATGTGTACATGCATGCCCAAAATCCTGAGAGGAGAAGGGATTGTGGTGTGGCCATCCCCTCAGAGGGTGATTTCTCACATTCTCTCTCTCTGTCTCTGGTGAGCACGCGTGTCCTGTGCCAAAAACTTAAAAAAAAAAAGAAAACAAATTATTTCTGCCGTAAATGAATAGATTGATGTTTATTTGCTGTTTTATTTAAATAGATTTTGATAAATAGCCTTAGAACTGACCTCTGCTTACAGTTAAGATAGTCCATGACCTTTATAAAGGGCGATGTATTCTTTTTTGAAGTAATCCAAGTAGGATAAAGCCACTGTAGAAAGATGGGCTACGTAGATTTAGAGAAGACTTCATGGAAAATAACAGTTTTTCTCAGGGGGTTGCCATTGAATCTGGTGTGTGAGTGTGTGTTTATGAAGGTTTTTGAAGATAAATGCTACACAAAGGGCAGGCTTTTTGAACTTTGCTTTATTCTACTGCTCTAGCTTTCAATTTAGTAAACACTTATTGAAAGCCTATTTCCTAGCCTTCTGACCCTTGGGATATAAAGAGGATTCTGAAGGGCATGACAGTTCAAATCTAAGAGATGACATGAAATTGCAATGAAGTGAAGTTAGACACCTTTACAGTGGGATTTTGGTACCCTAATCTTTCAGTGTGCCCTGTGTTTTATGAGGTTCCAGGCCTAAAAAGCTGTATGGAGATACAAGGACAGAAACAGAATGAGAAAATGAAGTGCCAGCTTTATTATTGCTGTCAAGTACTTAAGACTTGCAAATGCAAGATTTCTCTGGTCTAATGTGCTGGCTCCCAGGAACTAGGTCTGACAGCCTAAGTAGGCCTTCCAAGCCTGGTTACCTTAAATCTGTAGTTATAGAGCTGTGAAATTTGCCCCTTTCACCTTATGAAGGAAGTGCCAGAAAACTGCACATGAAGACGGGCCTACAAGTGGGCAAGTGCTGCTTGATATTTTTCCACCACATAATAAGAGGACGTAGAAGAGATGGAGTTTGGGCTTAAACTTAACCATTCACTCTTCTTGCCCTAAGGGAGTTTACTCTTGTTGCCACCACTGTCAAACAATTATCACCGTAAGTTTTGAATATCTGTCTTATCACCCTACTAAATTGTGTAAACTTCTTGATGACAGATATTTTATTTTGTTCACCCCTATAGCCCTTGTATCTACCACAGTACTTGGCACAAAGAAATCACAAAAATAAAACAAAAACAAACCCTATAGGGAGATGCACATGGAGAATAAGGTGCTCACCTGAATAAAATAACTTTTGTCAATTTTGTTTTATGCATGATAAGAGTGTGTGTGCATGTGTTTCCCATGTGTACGGGGAAGAGAGAGACCCAGAGAGAGAAACAGCGTCTCATTACACTGTGATTTTTCTTGCCTAAGTACTCTGGCTTCTCAGGATCTTGAACATGAGCACAGATCACCCATGTGTTTTCAGGCCAAACTGGGGATTCAAACTGTAGTCTGCCATATTACTTCCCAGCACTGCAATTTAGTTCACACCAACAATGCCACCAGGCTGGGCCTCAAATGGTTTTTTAAGATTACTTACTTGGGGGAACCAGCAGTTAGCATAATGGCTATGTCGCTGGACTCCCATGTAGTCGACCACAGTTTGCATCCCGGACCCAGTGGCTTAAAACTCACGCCGGGCGCGTGTGCGTGCGTGCCCAAGATCCCGAGAGGAGAATGGAGGAGAAGGGATTGTGGCGTGACCATCCCTCCTGGGGGGTGATTTCTCACTTTCTGTCTCTATGTTTCTCTCTGTCTGTGAAAATCTCTCCAAAAAAAAAAAAACAGATTACTTACTTGGGTTACTCCATTACCTGACAAGCATTTGCCCGAACTCAATTTGTTGATCTTTGTGAGAAGGCAGTGTAAAATGTAAAATGATTCAAAACACTGAGAAATAATGTATGTAGTGTCTATTATTATTATTATTATTATTATTATTATTATTATATTAATGGGGTCTTTTTAAAAGAATTTTAATTTAACTTTATCTATTTATTTATTTTCATTTTACCAGAGAGGGACAGAAAAAAAGATAAGAGTGAGAAAGCAAGCCCCCAAGTCCAGGACTTGAACCATGGTCAGCCATGTGAGAGTCCAGCACCCTTAGCCACCACACCACCTGCTGGCCCCTATTTTTATGTTGTCATTTTAACCTTTGCTTTTGAAAATTTTTTTTTGAGAGGTTTTTTTCGCTATAGGGCACGTGCACTCGCCAGACAGACAGAGAGAGACATAGAGACAGAAAGCGAGAAATCACCCCCCAGGAGGGATGGTCACGCCGCAATCCCTTCTCCTCCATTCTCCTCTCGGGATCTTGGGCACGCACGCACACGCGCCCGGCGTGAGTTTTAAGCCACTGGGTCCGGGACGTGAATCGCGGTTGACTACGTGGGAGTCCAGCGACATAGCCGTTACGCTAACTGCTGGTTCCCTGCTTTTGAAATTTTAAGGGCAAGTACTCAGTCAACACTTGAGTAAGGAAAATGAATGACAGATGCTTAGAGGGTTTATTAGCTTATCATAATCTCATAGTGTTGATGTTTTTAAAGTACCATCAAATAGCAAGAATATATCTGGAGGTTTAATTCAAAACGTAATGAGGGGGAACTTTGTGTTCATTCTTCTTCATGTTTTTGGTGTCCTTCACTTGCAACAGAACAAACTTAAAATTTCTACTTTTCTCTTTAGCTAGTATATTGGGACTGATAACCTTTTTTTACCCTATCTCCTTACATGTTTCATTTTATCATTCTAATGTTAGAACCATGATTGTGCCAGGAGGATCTATTTTCAAATTACAGTGAACATATATTTGAACACTTGGTGGCACCAAAAGCCTTAAATCAGTACCTGGTATAAAACAAACAATGTAATAATCTAATAGACCTCATATAGCAGCCTCCTTACTTTCTGCCTTTTCAAATAATAATCTTTTAAGTAATTTCAAATACATAAAAGTTACAAGTACAATAGAATTTCTTAGAGTGTCACATCAGGAATCGTTTATCAAGTGTGGGATTACGTCTACAAAAGGGGCCTCTCCAGCAAGATGGAACTATTAGACCTGATGTTTTTGTACAGCACAGTTTTATTTTATTTTTTTTTTAGAGGTTTTTGCCTTTGGGTGCATGCACTCACCGAAGAAAGATAGAGACAGTGAAAAGGCAAGTGAGAACCATCTCCCCGGGGTATGGCCGTGCTGCAATCCTGCCACCTCCATTCTCATCCAGGGATCATGGGTATGTACATGTGCTTGGCGTGAGTTTTAAGCCACCAGGTCTGGGACTCGAACTGTAGTTGGTCATGTGGGAGTCCAGCAATGGAACTGCTATGTCATCTGCTGGCCCCAGAGCACAGTTTTTCTACCTGCTATTTAATGTGATCCTTTCAGTTACTCTAAGAACAAAGGAAGGTTTTTTTCCAAATAATTATTTATTTAATGTTATTTATTATGTTGTTATTATTATTATTAATATTAACTCAGTATAGGGCATCTGCGCTCACCAAAGAGAGACACGGAGAAAGAGAAAGAAAGTGAGAAAGTAAGAGAGAGAGAGAGAGAGGGTGGGGGAGAGGGAGGGAAAGTGAGAAAGTAAGCCAAGTCTGAGACTCAGACTGCCTTTGGCCATGTGGGAGTCCAGAGCATTACCTGTCACGCTGTTTGCTGGCCCCAACAAAGCAAGTTTTAACAGATAAGAATATTTATCCTTTGGGGCCAGCAGGTAGCATAGTGGTTAAGGCACTGGACTCCCACATAGCTGTCCACGGTTTGAGTCTTGGACCCAGAGGTTTGAAACTCACACCCAGAATGTGTGTTTACACCCAAAATCCCGAGAGGAGAATAGAGGAGAAGGGATTGTGGCATGACCATCAATTCCTCCCTTTCTGTCTCTGGTGAGTACACATGCCCCCCAAAAAGAAAAGGTATGCTTTAAAATGTCAATTACACAGTCATTATTGATTGATCATGAACTAAATCCTGTGATAGATCTCCAAACTCCTAGCTTCAGGCTTTTTACAAAAAGGATAAGAATATGCATCTCTCATTCCGGTCATATATGTGAGAGAAATTACAGCTCTGAGACAAGGGATGTTTTTGTGTTGAAGCGATCCTGTAAAATTTGTGTATTCTGTAGACAGTGACATATCTGCAGGAAACGTTGCTTAAGATCCTTATGTGCCTTTTGGCCAGAACCACCATCTTCTGGTAATTCACCAAAACGATGAACACAAAGGAAAAGAGGGAAAGGCACCTGATATCTGTCCTGTAGGCCTTTTAGAAAGCATGGAGTGGTTCCTTTGGCAACATACCTGCGTTTCTACAAGAGAGGTGATACTGCAGACATCAATGGAATGGGTACTGTTCAAAAAGGAATGCCCCAGGGCTGGCAGGTGGTGTGGTGGTTAAGGATGCTGAATTCCCACATGGCCAACTATGTTTCGAGTCCTGGACCTGGTGGCTCACTTCCTCAGTTTCCCTCTCTCTTTCTTCCTCTCTTACTCTGTCCCTCTGCTCAAATAAAGTTAAATACAATCATTCTTTTTTTTGGAGAGGTTTTTGCTATAGGGCACGTGCGCTTGCCAGACAGAGAGACAGAAAGCGAGAAATCAGCCCCCAGGGGGGATGGCCACACTGCAGTCCCTTCTCCATTCTCCTCTCGGGATCTTGGGCACACACGCACACGTGCCGGGTGTGAGTTTTAAGCCACCGGGTCCAGGACGTGAACTGCGGTCGACTACATGGGAGTCCAGCGACATAGCCATTTTGCTAACTGCTGGTCCCCAATCATTCTTTTTTATTAAAAAAAAAAAGAATGCCCCACAGAAGTTACTATGGCAAAACTGGAAGAGTCTGCCATGTTACCCAGCAAGCTGTTGGCATTGTTGTAAGCAACAAGTTAAGGGCAAGATTCTTGCCAAGAGAATTAATGTGCATATTAAGCATTCTAAGAGCAGAGATTGCTTCCCAAAACGAGTAAAGGAAAATGACCAGAAAAAGAAGGAAGCCAAAGAGAAATATACCTGGGTTCAACTGAAGTGCCAGCTGGCTCTACCCAGAGCACACTTTGTGAGATCCAATGGAAACTGAGCTTCTGGAACCTGTTCCCTGTGAATTCATGGCATGACGGATGTTAAAAATAAACTAAACTATGGTCTATAAAAATATTTTTCTTAATTGAATAGAATTGTGTTCCCTCCTCAAAGCTAATTTTAATTGGGCTCTAATTTATTTTGTGATATCTTTATTCAAATTTAGTATTTTTTAGCTGAAAGATGTTAGGTGGCTTATTATGCAACAAATAAAACTCAATTGGTTAGGGAAAAAAAGATCCTTGTGTTCCTTCTAGGAACTGTATTTTGTCCTGCCATATTGTAAAGGAATCACAGGCTTTTTGGGAATATTGTAGGTATGGGGGGACTCAGTCAATCATTTATTCATCTATCCATTTATTAATATGTGTTGCTCACATATTGGTGCCAGGAAGCATTCTAAATCTAAATTTAGTGATGGAGAGGTACAGTAACCTACCGTCACGGAGCCATGTTTACAGTCTAATGGAAGGAATAAAAATAAAATAAGCAATTATGGGACCAGCAGGTGGCATGGTGGCTGACTTGACAATGTGCTGGACTTCCACATTGCCGACCACAGTTCAAGTTCTGGACCTGGTGGCTTGCTCTCTCACTTTTCCTCTCTCTCACTCTATCTCTCTGTAGTGAGCACACATGCCTTGTAGCAGTTTCAAACATAATAATAATATACAAAGTTAAATAATTTTAAAAATAAAGTAATTAGAATTAAATATGATGGCAGTTATAGTGAAAGTATGTATGTGATAACTATTTTTAAGATCATTGAAGAAGCATTATTTGATTTGTCTTTGTGTATGTAGTACCAAATATATATTTGAAATATATTTTTTTTTCTAGTTTATGTCTCTAGAGAAAAAGATTGGTATCCTAAATAAGGTCTTACCATAACCTCTTAGCCAGCCAGGATCACAGGCATGCTGGGTATGACTGGTATATTTAGGTTAACTCAGGATCCAAATCTTAGTTTCCCACGTGGCTCCAGTATCACGTAGTGGTGCCTTCCAATCTGTGCTCCTGTGGCTAGGCCCCAAACATAATTCTGTGCACCTAAAATGTTGAACTGAGTACTGATACTGGGAAAATAAATACATATGTTTTCCTGGGGAAATCAGGGAATATTTATCAGTAACTGAAGCTGAGATCTGAAAGATTTTGTTACTCAAAGGCTTATCCTGCAAAGGAAATAACATGTAAAAGCACAGAGCTTGAAAAGTTGTAGCATTTTTGCAAGTTACAAATTATTGCTGAAATATGAAATGCGAGGAGGATAGAGATGAGGCTGGACCAGCAGTCAGGGACTAATATACAGTGTCTTTATCAGGGCAAAATAAAAATGAATAAATAAATTTGAAAAAAAAATAGTAATAAATAAAATTAAATAAATATATATATATATTTTTTAATGTAAGTTTCACACTGGGAATTTTGTTTATATGAAGCAGTCTTCCAAAAAGTTAATGGAAGGAACCAGCAATTAGCTTAATGGCTGTGTCGCTGGGCTCCCATGTAGGTGACCGTGGTTTGCGGTCCCGGACCTGGTGGCTTAAAACTCACGCCAGGCACGTGTGCGTGCATGCCCAAGATCCTGAGAGGAGCACCAAGGAGAAGGGATTGCGGCGTGGCCATCCCCCCTGTGGGGTGATTTCTCACTTTCTGTCTCTCTGTCTGTCTCTGTCTGTCTGGCGAGTGCACACGCCCTATAACAAAAACCTCTTGAAAAAAAAAAGTTAATGGAAAATGTGTATTGTGGAAAAACTACAAATTTCAACATTTTTTGTTGAAATAAACTCATTTTCTATTTTTCCATGAAATTTTTGAAGTTCTCCAGAGTCTTTTCCTTTTCAATCTGTCTCTCCTAGAATCAACTCCTATATTCTTATTTTAATAAGTAAGTAACAACTATAAAACCTGATTTCCTGGCCCAGTCTGGTGGCAGAGTTGGTGGCAAACTGAACTACGGTACTGGGAGCCACGTGACAGACAATTTGAATCTGTGGGTCAGCTTGGAAACATACCAGGGCATGTGCATGTATGCTTAAGATCTTGACTGAAGCACAGGGGGAAAGAGGTGCAGTAAGGTGAGACCCTATTTAGGAGGCTTTTATCTCTCTCTCTCTGTCTCTCTTGCATACACACTATCATCTCTTTCATTAATACAATAAATATGCATAAAAACTTGATTTTTATAATAGAAAAATAATATAATATGGGGCTAATATCCAAATTTAGTTCAGATGTCACAGAAATGTTTCTAGCAATTTAGAAATGGCTTTAATAGCTGAGTAATTATTGTATCTGTAGCAGTACCTTGATGATAACACTGTGGAAGCTATGGCCTTTCGGAAGAATGCGAAGGAATTATTGCAACTAGCGGCAAAGACATTAAAGAAATTGGGAGTACGATTCTGGCTGAGCAGTGGAACTTGTTTAGGTAAAATTCTTGTTGCTCTACATTTGTCATTTTGTCATTTCATCCTCTAGTTTTAGGAATGACTGCTTGAGATGACAAAATATCTGTGATATTCAAAGTGTCATATTTTTAGACAGAATAAATGTGAGCACACGAGCAAATATCTGTTGGTTTCTTTAAAGAATTAATTTTAGAAATACAAAAGAGAGGTCAAAGTCGTTACCTTTTAAAAAAAAACTCCCTTTACTTATACACCATACAAATAGCTTGCATTGTACCAAAAGTTTCTGAAGAGTGGAAGATTGAGGGAGAGCATATCACAGGTCTTCAACAATCTTCTTCCAGGTTATTGATAGTATCACTGATTAGATGTCACACGTCATCTGATATGGGAAATGCAGAACTTTTCCTATAGTCCTTGGGGAAGTGGCTGTTAGAATCTGAGAAAGATTTCTGTTCACTATCGATTAGATCAGTTTTTTTTTTTTTTTTCAAATTTAGAATTAATTAGAATCTTAATACTTAAATCTTAATACTTAAATAGATAAGTATTGATCTATTTACTTTTCATATAATTTGGATGGGAAGGTTAAAATAGGGAAGACTGGGGGGCAGCAGATGGCATGATGGTTAAAGTGCTAGATTGCGGGGCCAGCAGATGGTGTGGTGGTTAAGGTACTGGACTCCCATATGGCCAATCGCAGTTCAAGTCCTGGACCTGGCAGTTTGAAAATCATGCCAGGCACGTGAGCTCAGAATCCCAGGGAGAGCATGGAGGAGAAGGGATTATGGCATGGCCATTCTCTGTGGGGAGCGATTTCTCACATTTCCTCTCTCTCTGTGTCTCTCTTTGCTCTTTGGCAAGGGCAAGTGCCTTATGATAAAAAAACCTTAAAAAAAAAAGAGAGAGAGAGACCTATTAAGGTATAAATCTTATTTTTACTTATTTACTTATTTATTTACTATAGGGCACATGTGCTTGCTGAAGAGAGAGAGAGGAAGAAAGTGAGGAATCACCCCCATAGGGAATAGTCATGCCTCCATCACTTCTTCCCCAGCAGGGATGGCCATACCATGATGTCATCCTTATTCTCCTTTTGAGTTTTTGGGCATGTACACACCTGGTATCATTTTTCAATCCATCTAGTCTAGGATTCAAACTGTACAGTCGGCCATGAGGGATCCAGCCCCCTTAACCTCTACCCATTTTTATTTATTTTTGTTTGTTTGTTTATGAGAGATTGATTGACTGATTGATTGATTTTTGACAGGATCTCAAAGTCAGGATCTTCCTGCCCTAGCTTACTAGCTTGCCAGGATCATAGGCACAACAAGCCACTCCATCAATCCTGTCTACTTGGACTGGGAACTGAATTAATAGTAGTAGCATGTTAGTAGTGTGTACTACTGCAGCTAAGCCTAACTTTTTTTTTTTTTTTTGAGAGGTTTTTGCTATAGGGTGTGTACGCTCACCAGAAAGACAGACAGAGAGACAGAAAGCGAGAAATCACCTCCCAGGGGGGATGGCCACACCGTAATCCCTTCTCCATTCTCCTCTTGGGATTTTGGGCATGCACGCACACATGCCCAGCATGAGTTTAAGCCGCTGGGTCTGGGACTTGAACCGCAGTTGACTATGTGGGAGTCCAGCAACATAGCCATTATGCCAACTGCTGGCCCTGAGCCTAAATTTTTTATTTTTATTTTTTATTTTTTTAGGTTTTCGCCAGTGCTTGCACTCACCAGAGAGAAAGAGAGAGAGACAGTGAGAGGGAAAGTGAGAAATCACCCCCTAGTGGGGACAGCCATGAAGCAATCCCTCTTCCTCCATTCTCCTCTTTGGCTTTTGGGCACACACACACAGATGTGCTCAGTGTGAGTTTCAAGCCAACAGATCTGGGACTCAAACCATGGTCAGTCATGTGGGAATCCAGCACCTTAACCACCACACCATCTGCTGGCCCTCTGAGCCTAAATGTTTTTTAGAACAATGATATAGAACATAATTGAGAAGTAGATATAGGAGCACTTAGGAATATCTTTTGACAGTGTGTTGAAAATTGAAGCTGATACGGCTTTTATTGTTTTATATGATCCATCAGATATTAACAGTTCAGAGCTGTCAAGTTTTATAAACTGTCAGGAAAGGTATATTGGTTAAGCAAAAGAGTGAAATGTTTTTAGCAATTTCTTTTTTTTAATTTGGCAGAGGTGCATGTATTTGCTGGAGAAAGAGAGGGGAAAGGAGAAAGCACCCCCAATTGGAATGGTCACACTGCAGTCCCTTCTCTTCATTTCTCCCTCCTTTCAGGATTTTTGGCATGCATGCACATGTCCCTGATGTGTTTTTCTTTTTTTGGAGAGGTTTTTTTTCTAGAGGGTGTGTGCGCTCACCAGAAAGACAGAGACAGACAGACAGAAGGACAGAAAGCGAGAAATCACCCCCCAGGGGGGATAGCCATGCTGCAATCCCTTCTCCTCCATTCTCCTCTTGGGATCTTAGGCACGCATGCACATGTGCCCGGCATGAGTTTAAGCCACTGGGTCTGGGACTCGAACTGCAGTTGACTACATGGGAGTTCAGCAACATAGCCATTACACTAACTGCTGGTCCCCCGAATTGTTTTTCAAGCCACGAAGTTGTATTCTAATCGCTCAATTGGCCATGTGGGATCCAGCTGCCTTAACCATCATACCACCAGTTGGCTTATTTTTAGCATTTCTTAAAGGCAACCTTCTTTCCTAGAGGTTAATGGTTAAACCTTCTCAGGGTCACCTTAACTTTTTTAAAGTGAATGACCCAGTTAACATTATTAAAGCCAATGGTTTATTCATAAGTTTAAAATATTAGGTCATTGGGAAAGTCATGATGAATTTTTCCATTTTTCTATGCAAAAATGAATTATGAGTTTCCTAACAAGCCAATATATCATGAAAATTTGAAGAAGTGATTGTTCAGACAAAAACAGATAGATGGATGGAAAGGAAGGATGTTAGTTCTTTAATAGGCCACTCCCGTAACCAAGTTTTTAGTTTAGGATTTAATATTTTAAAAAATAATTTTGGTGGATCAGCAGATGGTATGGAGGGCGGGGCAGTTGGATCTCACATGACTCACTTCACAGTTTGAGTCCTGGGCCCAACAGCTTGAAAATCACTCTGGACACATGTGCATGCATGTGTGCCTAAAGTCCCTAGGGGAGAATGGAGAAGGGATTGTGGCGTGGCCATCCCCCTGAGGGATGATTTCTCACTTTGCTGCTCTCTCTCCCCCTTTCTTTCTCTCTCTAGTGAGCACACCACCCTATAACAAAACTTAAAAAAAAAAAAAAAAATTCAGTAAAGCACCTTAAACCTAATCCTATGCAGTAAAATTCATTTTCACAAAGATCATCTATTACAATGACTAATTTTTTTCAAATCTTATTTTTTTTCCCCTTTTTTTTAGGATGGTATCGGCAATGCAACATTATTCCTTATAGCAAAGATGTCGACCTAGGAGTTTTTATACAGGATTATAAATCTGATATTATTTTAGCATTTCAAGATGCAGGACTTCCACTCAAACACAAATTTGGGAAGGTCAGTAACAAAAATTGGCTTTATTTCATAAGTTACATTTTAATTGTAAAGTTTATGGTAAACAACCAAGATTTGGTTAAGAATGCTGCACAGGTAATTTTATTATTTATTATTCACCAAGCTGAGCTCAGTAAAAGCTTGTTACCATTTGTGATTTTTACACTATATAGAGAAAAACTAGATAGCCTGGCTTTCTATGGATGAGGACAGAAGGATCCTGGACTTTTGTAGATGAATTTTATATTAGGCAACAAGATTTAAAATTAGTAAAGTTTGTAATATATAATTGATATAATAAGTAAGAATACCTCCTATCCTACCTGAAGTTATACTGTGGCATGGATGTAATTATCAACACAAAGCGTTCCACTGATTGCTAAGGGGTAGAATTACTAAACGGTTATTTCTAACAAGCACTTCAATTTTTTTATTTATCTCACATGTGCTAGGTTATAGTACTTTACTGAGAGGTCAATCAGGGATAGCTGTTTGACTTCTAAGCCCATGATCTTCTGCAATCACCTCACTTTAAATTTGCTTGTTTCCAGAGAGGTGTGATCCTACAAAACAAATAGAAGTATTTTCAATCCCTGGAAAGTTATTTCTGTCATCTTAAATAATCATTGTGTTTTACTAAAAAAATTAATAAATAAAATATTCTTCTGAGATCGAAGTCAAAGCTCTAGAGTTCTAGTCTTTGAGTAAACATTTGCGCAACATCCACTATATGTCTGGCACTGTGGTGCACACATGGGACACAAAGAGAACAAATTACAGTGTTTACACTTGAGCTCACTGGGAGGGGGATAACCACATAAATTATGATTACATTATTAGTGCTGTAACACACAGATGTACCAAGTCCAGTGGGAACATAATTATTTGTAGTAAAGTTTCTTTAGCAAAATGCTCTCAAAATGATTTTTTTCTGCACTTTTTTGTTTTTTAAATCTTTTTAATGTACACAATGTGATGATCTATGTTAAATATGTAGCTATATATAATACCACTTTAACTATGTACTTACTGATTATGATGAGAGATTTATCTCCTAATGGTATTAGTTATTAAAGAGAGTCATTTTTCTTTGATCCCTAACTTCTTTAGTCAAAAAAGGACTCTGGAACAGGATGTTTCTGTTTTCTCTGCAGAGTGATGATCTAACTACCCTAAGTTATTTACTCTGAGTTGTCATTGGGATTTAAGAAGCAACATTATTTCATATGCAGTTAGGAAAGAAAAGAAATGATGGCATGCTACTGATGCATTCCAATTTCAGATTTTTCTAAATTGAAAAAAAAAGTGCACTTTAGAATTAATACTTTAATAAGAATCTCTTTTTTAAAAGAAGTTTTAAAAAATGTATTTTCTTTGTTTTAGTCTGTGAAGGTTTTCATCTTCCTCCTAGGTAGAAGACAGCTTGGAACTATCCTTCCAGGGAAAAGATGATGTAAAACTTGACATTTTTTTCTTCTATGAAGAGACTGACCATATGTGGAATGGAGGCACTCAGGCCAAAACAGGAAAAAAATTTAAGTATGGATCAGATAAGTACTTATAAAAAGATGATAGAAATAACTTTAGGAGATAGAAATAAAGAAGTAACTGAAAATGAAAAAAAAGAAAAGAAAAGAAAAAAACAAAAACACCTGTGTCAAGGCTCTTTTTCCAGCGACACATGGAGTTCAGTTGTGCCTGTGAGGGGAGAACTGCCTGTAAAATCTATGAGGAGGAAGTGTCCTGGATTTGTCAATCCAGGGAGTCATGATTAAAAACCCTTGAGTCATGAGAAAGAGAATGCCAGAGAAAGGAATACAGGTATCAGTAAAGCTCAGAGTTTTTGCTGTAACCTGACTGTCAGAGCTGTAGGAGTTAGATAATTATGTGAGAATGGATAGGGTGGGTAAGAACGAGATAGTTGAGATGAAGTCAGGTTTAAGTGAGGAAATTGGGATTGAACAGAGTCGAGACCTTGAGTAGTAGGCAAGCTTACAAGTATGCCTTCTTCTTTCTTTCTTTTCTTTTTTTTTTTTTTTTTTAAAGTTTGCTATACCCTTGCCAGAGACAGACCAGGGTGAGGGAGGGGTGGTGAGAAATCACTTCCCAAGAGGGATGGCTATGTCAAATATTTATTTGACAGTGCCTTTTATATAAACTGCAGTCTAATCCTTAAAGCATAGTTATTGGACTTAATAGATTTTTTTTAGTGTAAGATAATATTGAGTATGGGGCTTGTAGGTGGTGTGGTGGTTAAAGCACTGGATTCGATGTGCTTTACATAACTAACTGTGGTTTGAGGCTCAGACCTGGTGGCTTGAAAATCACAACAAATAAATAGGTAAATAAATGTTTAAAATAAAAAGATAATATCGATTGTAAGATGCACCATTGTTTATGTGCTACTAGAAAGAAAAAAATTGACAATTGTAAGACACATGATTACACATGGAAAACTTGGAAAAGATGTCTCAGAACTGATGAAATCTAATTTGTCAGGGTGGCGTTGTTAGCATCTAGTTCTTGGTTTTTTATTTTATTTTAATGCTGTCATAGCCAGACTCTCTGATGAGAAAAGACAAAAATCATTAGAATAAGTAATTAGAGTAAGTATGCCTTTCTTTATGTTGTGATTGGCCTGTCCTCAGTTCTGACAGAAAGAATTAGAATGGGGACCCAAATAACATGGGCTTAGGAGTCAGGCAGACCTAGGAAACCTCAGCTTCACCCTAAAATATTTGTGGGCTTTTAGCTTTTATGAATATTATTCACCTCATCTATTTTTCTATTATTATTTTATTTGACTTCACTTATTATTACTATTATTTTCCAGTTTAATCAGAAAGAGACAGAGAAAGAGAGAGAAGGAAAGTGAGAAAGCAAGCTACCAGGTCCAGGATTTGAGCCGTGGCTGGCCCTGTGGGAGTCCAGTGCCTTTAACTACCACACCACCTGCTGGCCCCCCCATCTATTTTTTAAAATTATTTTATTTTATTTATTATTATTATTTTTTAAAATTTGCTACTGGACATGGGCGCTCACTAGAGAGGAAAAGTGAAAAAGCAAGCTGCCAGATCTGGGACTCAAACTGTGGTATGCCATGTGGAAGTCCCGAGCCCCAGCCACCACACCACCTGCTGGACACATAACCTCATCTATTAAACTTTCCCTCCTACTGTCTCTGGTGAGCACACATACCCTATGGCAAAAACAAAAACAAAAAAAGAAAGAAAAAGGAAAAAAAGAACTGTTTCTTCCCGAGTACTACATTTCTGGATTGAAAAAGATTCTTTCATTCTGCTTTGACTGTTCTGAATAGTAACAGTGTTTGGGAAGTGTGAAATGTTCTGATTATTTAACAGGAAAAGTGAGCAGTGATAGAGCTGTCTGGACAGATGGTGTGAGTCCCAGATTTTCTGTCATATTACTGTGACCTTAAAAGGCAGAGAAAAGAACAGGAGATGGCTGCTTAGCGTCTTTTCTTTGGAAGATTCTCCCAGTCATATGCCATTTTTATTCTTTTTAGCACTATTTACTTTAAGGAAATGCAGTATTTTTAACATTACTCTTCTTTAGGAATAAAACCCCTAAAACCTTTAAAATTAGTATAAGTAAGGGTCTTTTTATTTTTATACTATTGTACTTTTTATTCATGTATAGTTTATTCTGAGAAAAGCTTAGTAAGAATTTCTGGGTGAGGTGGCAGGTGGCATGATGGTTAAGGACGCTGGACTCCCACATGACCGAACATGGTTCAAGTCCCAGATCTGGCAGCTTGCTTTCTCACTTTCCCTCTCTCTCACTCTGTCCTTCTCTGGCCAAATTAAAAATAAATAAGTAAATAAAGTTAAATAAAATAACTATTAAAAAAATAAGAATTTCTGGGTAGCTAAGCACATGGTAGGTTTCTGGGGAGTGACAAGCCAAGAGATGCCATGGAAACTACATGTCCCTTCTCCATACCTTATCCTACCCATCTTTTTATCTGGTATTCATGAGAATCCTTTGTGAGATACTTTAAATAAACCAATGACTGTACTTTCTCAAAGGAGACTACATAATATGTGCAGTGATTAATTTCTTCCATCATCAGTATCAAGAGAATAAAGGATAACTTTTAATAACAAATTTTTTTAAAGAATTATTTAACTTTATTTATTTATTTAAAAAAATTTTTTTTGGAGAGGTTTTCGCTACAGGGCGCGTGTGCTCGCCAGAAAGACAGAGAGAGATAGAAAGACAGAAAGCGAGAAATCACCCCCCAGGGGCGATGGTCACGCTGCAATCCCTTCTCCTCCATTCTCCTCTCAGGATCTTGGGCACACACACACATGCTCCCGGTGTGAGTTTAAGCTCTCAGGTCCAGGACTTGAACCATGGTCAATTACATGGGAGTCCAGTGACATAGCCATTACGCTAACTGCTGGTTCCCGCCAAGGATAACTTTTTAAAGTGAATAAGTTCCACATCCTAAATCTAATCATTCTACCCCTAACTACAGTATCTGACATTGTATCAGGTGTGGAAACAAAGCTACTCACATCAGTGTCAATAATACATGATCTAGTGAAATATGGATCTTTAGAAACATACTGGAATTTTTAGAAACAAACAACACACTGATGGGGGAAAAAAAGGAAAAAAAACTTGGAATATAGAATGCTTACCATTTTTCAAGACTACAGGAACCTTAAGGAACTTTTTTCCTTGAAGAATAAAGGAAAACCATTTTGCCTTTTTTAAACTTCTCTCTTTGTGCCTGTGGAATGTCATCTTTGGTCCTAAGGTTTAATAATTATTGAAATATTAAGAGGAAGAATGAAGATATAGCTACCAGGATATCTGCTAAGTATCAGGCACCATCATAGGTGCTTTATGTATATAATCTTAGTCTTCATTTTATCCCTGTGGGTTGGGTATCCTCACACCCAGTTAGCCATGAGGAACCTAAAGATCAGAGAAGCAAATCAATATGCTTAATCAAGGTCATTAGCCATTAATGGCCAAGTTTTAACCCCAGTACTGTTTGATTCTTAAGCCAAAATGCTTTCTTTCAGAAGTTAGTGAGCTGAGTGAGTTAGCACAGTAATGCATTTAGAATGGTACTTGGCACACTGGAAGTAGTACTGTATGAATATTAGCTACTGCCACTGCCATTGCTATGCAATTGCTACTGCTGCTGTTATTACTGCTATATTACACTGGCACAAAGCACGCACTGCAACACAGTCATACATTGGATTAGTTATTCTCCCGGCAGGTGTTTTCTTTCTAGGTCTTATGATACTAATTACAACTTTAGTTCTTTAACCTAAAGCCATTCTTTTTTTTACCTAAAGCCATTCTACTCAAAATCCAAATTGTACTTTAAAATATTGTTTGGATTTTTTAATGTCTGTTTTTCTTCTTCACAATCCATATCACCTGTAGTGAAAAGTGATGAATACAATAATTATGTATCCTGTATATGCAGGGGTTTTTTTGAGAGGTTTTTGCTATTCGGTGCGTGCGCTCGCCAGAAAGACAGAGAGAGACAGAGAGATAGGAAGCAAGAAATCACACCCCAGGGGGGATGGCCACGCCGCAATCCCTTCTTCTCCATTCTCCTCTCAGGATCTTGGGCATGCACGCACACTTGCCTGGCATGAGTTTAAGCCACCGGGTCTGGGACTTGAACCGCGGTTGGCTACATGGGAGTTCAGCGACATAGCCATTATGCGAACTGTTGGTCCCTCCTGTATGTGAAGTTTTTACTCCACGATTTCCCAGTTCGTACAGATGCTACATAGGTTCCTTTTTTTTCCCTTTTAATATAGGGTACATGTGTTCACTGGAGAGAGACAGACAGACAGGGAGGGTAAGAAATCAGTACCCCCAGAGGTTATAGCCACCCACAGTCCCTTCTCCTCTATTCTCTTCTAGGGATTTTGAACATACATGCACATGTGCCTGGCAAGTCTGTCAATCCGTGGTCCAGGATTTGAAACGGAGTTAGCTATGCATGGTACAGCATCTTTAACCACTATGCCACATGTTGGCCCACTGTGTAGATTTTTTTGAGTTGTTTCTTTCCTTCTTATCTGAATCAACTAATATGGGTAGAGGTCAAGAGTTTGAGAGGTAATGATAATAGTTAACCTTTTTTTTTTAATTGAGAGATTTTTGCCATAGGATATGTGTGCTCGCTGGAGAGACAGAGAGACAGAAAGCAAGAACTCATTCCCTGCGTGGATGGGCACACTGCAATCCCTTCTTCTCCATTCTCCTCTTGGGAACTTGAGCATGCACGCACACGCATCTGCGTGAGTTTTAAGCCGCTGGATCTGGGACTCGAGCTTTGGTTAACTACACGAGAGTCCAGCAACGTAACCATTACGCCATCTGCTGGTCCCAAATAATTAACTTTTAGTGAATACTTACTAGATGCTAGGCACTATGCCAAGATTTTGTAGTGCCTTATCTCAGTTTACCCTCACAACACGTTTATAAGGGAGTTTCACCTTTATTTCATGGATGATGAAATTAAGGCAGAGCTAAGC